TATTAATATTATTAATAGATAATAATAATATGCTTTTATGTTGATTAGCAGGACAGGTAGTATGAAAACTGATGCATATTCCACCTCCCCTAAGTTTGGTTTTGAGGTTTTATTTGGTGGTGTTTTTTCTTTTGAGGAGGGGGTTGGGGGTTCGCATCTTCTGTTTGGTTTTGGGTTTTATTCATAGACAAGGTGTGCAGTACAAGCATTTTCTCCTTCAGGCACCACAATAACGGGCTACAAGACTCACGTGCTATTGATTTCTGCAGGCACTGCCTAAGGTACGAAGGCAAACCTGCCTGGGCTAAAGCTTCAGAAGCAATAAAAATGCTATACAACACAAAGGCTACAGAGCGAGCTCCCAGCACTCTTCTGCAAGCCCCACTCATACGAATTAACACAAAGAACTTATTGGAAATAATGGATCCTGTTACATGTCACTCTGAGCATTTTCTCTGCTTTTATTACCTGCTCCAACAAGTCCCAGGAATGCAAGGATAAGGAGAGGTGATCCACTTGCAAAAACTCCAAAGCCAAATGTGAAGAGAGGAGAGAGGAGAACTGTGGCCCAAAAAAGGAAGTTTAGGAGAGTCCATGGTCTCCTAGGAGGTTTAAACTGCTGGCCAGGAAATATGCCTTCCTGATTATACATCTCTTGCAGAGCATCCTGGGAGAAAGAGAAGACAGAAGAAAACATGCTCATAACGTTTGCAACAAGCAATCCACGGGTAGTCCCCTCCAGGGCAGCATCGAGGACAGTATCTGTGGTGAAGGCTCATCAGGAGTAGACAGCATCCCCTACCACCTCCTGTCATTTATCCGGGTGTTTCTGGTGACCATCAAGCCTACCATAGTAGCCCTTTGAAGCCACTCGTGGTCACCATCAGAAACTGAATCCATAGCGGCTCCCCACTACCGAATACCTTCATCTCTTCTCTTAACTGCTTAGGAATTTAGGGCAGCATCAGGCCAGAGGCTAATTCAGACACTACCAGCCTCTCTGCTGGGTATTTTTTCTTCCTGTTTTTACTTCCAGAAAGGTCAGCATGATTTAGTTAAGCACAGCACCAAAATGCTGTATATACAGCCAAAAGAGGAAGGCAAAGCACAAGCTACCAGCAGAGACAGCGCTCTGCCAGCCACAATCCCGGACTTCAACAGGTCCATTGCATCCTGAGCCAATCCTGCAGAGACGCAACCGCAAAAGGCATCGCTCGGGAGAGGCAGGCCCACAGTCTTCCCTCCATTTCTAAGGACATTCTGTAAGGTTTCCAAGCCATTCCCAAGGATGGCTCAAGTTTGGTTAGTTCTTATTTTTCCCTCTTAAACTGTTTTCCTTTTAGCTTCCCTCATGAAGGGCTGATAAGGCATTCCTTGCCAATAACAGCCTTTTGAGGACATACCCTCTGTGCCAGAAGAGCATTTTATGGATCCCAGTTACAACATATTGCTCCCATGGCAAGATCGATACAAAATATACCCAGGCATACAAGTAATACCTCCCCCGGCAACAGCTCACGCCAAAGTTGAGCAGAGGTACAGCCAACACCGGCAAGGAACACCAAAATTCCCCATCTGCAAGGAAAGCAGAGCATCCTGCCCGTGGACTGGCACCGAGTGGAGTGAATGCCCTGCGCTGCGTCTGCTTAACTCTAAATTTACTGTTTAATCAAGCAGGAGCCAGAGAAAAAACATCCCTGTAAAATACACCTTGACATCTGCTCCTCCAGCCAGGCAACATCAGAAAGAATTCCTGCATCAAAGAGCCTTCTCACAAGGGAATTACATGACAGCACATCCCTGATGGCAGGAGTCAAGGATCCCAATGATTTTATGTAATTATTTATTGATTTTAAAAGACCTGGGAAGTGGAGGGAGAAGACGGTGATAGCTACTGCTCTTTGTCAGAGAACTTCTCTCCCCTTAACTGAATCAGAGATTAGGTATTCAAGCAAATTCATTTACAATGAACAAAACGAAACAGAACAACCTGCTGCCTACCTGCAGGCTAAGCGTAAGCTGGGAAATGCCGCAGCACAGGCCAAGAGAGCAGAAGAAAGCCCAAGACAGTTAAAGTTTCTGTGCTCCTCTTTCCCCACAAAGAAAAGCAACACACACACAAAGAAAAAAAAAAAAACACCAAAACCCAAGATACACATTTCAAGTACAACAATCCACCAGTTAGGGCTGGGAAACATTAACTGCAGGTCTCTCCACTTCCCTACAGAACTGTTAAATCTGTGGTCAAGAAATTAACCACCTAAGGTAATAAAAGAAAAGCTTTGGGCCACTTGAAGGCATGTTGGCCATGTGCTACATCAGTCCCGGGCAGCAGATCCCAGGGACTGTCTGCACCACGTCACACACCGCTGCAGAGGTATTACCAGGAGGCAGAAGGAAAATGACAGTGGAAGAAACATGAAAGCATAGGACAATTGCAGCTAAGAGCCGTGACCGGCCATTCCTGACAGAGTTATCATTCTTCTTGAGTGCCTAAAAACACCCACGGGGAAAATGGAGCTTTTAGAAATGTGTGACAGAGTCCCAAGAGCTGAAGAATATAAAAAGACAGTGGATTACTAGTAGTCTTCCACAACTCGAGCGTATCTCTGAATTCCATTGTGCTTCCCAGCAATTTGAGACCTACTCACTAGCCAGCCCTCAGCAGCCAAGGGGCTCTTCCATACTGATCCTTCCGGCAGTTTGAGGGATGGCTGCCAAATTATACATAGTATTTCCATCTCTTCTCTCCATCCAGTGGAAGAATGTGTGTTACCCAGTGCCTTGACACACCACCCCTGTGAAAGTCCCAAAAGGGAGAACAAAGTAAAAGCTGGTTACCTTTTCCTGGTAAAGCTTATGAAGCCAGTTTGCAGCTTCCTTTTCATCTTGAGGGATATCTTCCAGAGGAAACCTCCTAGTTCAGCAGAGAGATTGAGAAAGGAAAACAAATTAAGGGAAAATCCAGGTATTTGACTTCAGACCTCTTCTAGGGAACATCTGCCATTCAACGAAGGGCATAAGCTACAGGTAATAGTGTCACTGAGGGCAGAGAAGAACTGGGACTTAGGTTAACACCCGATTAGCCACATAAAAACTCGGATTCCTAGGACCAAAGAATCTGTACAAGCTCCTATCAACTTCAGAGCACATTAGTAAAACAAGAATTTCCCATTCAACCACTGTTCTTCCTTCAGTGGAACTGCCAGTGGTTGATTCCCAGCAAACTCGGACTGAGGCACCCAGAGCTGGGGAAAGACAAGCAAGTGGCAAAACCCAGGCTGTTTGTTACACTTTGTTAGTGAAAACCCCATTTTGAAAGGATTGGGAGGGTTGGTTAAAAATTCCCTTTGTACCAGCTCTAAGGAAAACACCTTCTACAGCGACTGCACTTCTCTCTCCTTGCCTCTCCAGCCCTACAGACCGGGGCACGCAGCTCTGGGCACACAGGAAGGTTACGCCAGCCCGACGTATGAGAACAGGCACCTCCTAAGAGCCGCTCTCTAGTGGCGAAGAGCCAACCGTCTTCCTGAATTCTTTTCTTTTCCAAGACAGGCCACAAGCGTATCGTCTCCTTTCCCAGGCCCACATCTCAGGCCCGGATCAATTCGGAAAGGAGCCGTTTGCTTTGCAGAGGGCAGGCACACACCCTGCTTTGGCAACACTTGGACCGCATCAGGGCGGGAAGAACAGGAGGGTGACCTCTGGGAAGGCTCTAGACACAGTGACCCCACATACAACTTATTTGCTGCTGTTCAACCGGGTAACCTAATTCTGCAGTATGAACGAAAGCCTTCAAGTCTGCAGCCGCTGAGGGAAGACCTTCTAATGCATCCCTAATAATTTCTGCATGCCATAAACGAACTGAACACCAGATTTTACTGATTCACTTTCAGCAGCTCTGACAGTAGGATCTGGTCAATTCATACACATAACGCTCAGTAAAAGCTCAGTAAAAAGTCATTTGCTGAAAGCTCTCTGGTAAAAGTGCCGCCGCATCGCTGTCACCACTAGAGGGTCCTCACGGCAACAACATTTGGTCACTGAGCAGATTATTTTCCCTGGGGCCAGCCAGGACAGACTGCAGAGAGCTAAGCTCCTTACCTCTGCACAGGTAACTGCATGCGCACACGCCAAGAACGAGAGCTTATGCGCTTCCTTTCTCTGAGCTAAGCTAAGCCTGCTGGCACATTAAGGACACGTTACATTTTCAGCAGAAAGACTGTAAAAATAGTTTCCTTATTCTCACAGCTTCCTCTTCAAAACAGAGAAAAAGCTTCAAGTGTAGGAAAGCGTCTTCAGAACGTTGATTCAGTCCACAAATGTATTTTAAATTAAAAGTATCTGAACATAGCCATTAATTTCTCTAATGGGATTGAATCAGTAATTTTACCTGGCAACATCATCCTCACAGAATTTTACAAACCCAAATCTCTTCTAATGACCACTAAACACTGCATTTCTCTACTCTCCTCCTCTCACCAACAAATAAACCCAACTTGCATCTCCGTCAGCAATCCATAGGATATTGAACTGAACGCAGCTGCTCTTCAGCGTATAGTTATACAGAGGTACATCCACCTACGGGCGCCCTGGGATTTCGCTGAACACGTCTGCTGTCAGTACAGAATTATGGGTGGCAAATGCCTGACCGGCCGTTTTGCCAGCTGGTAAGCTGTCTGCTCACTTCCCTCCTCAGGAATACGTCTGGCAAGTGTAAATTGTCATGTTGCTTTTAGTCAGGACAGAGTTAGTTTTCTTCACAGTGGCTGGTATGAAGTTATGTACTGGAGTTGCCCTGAGAATAGTCCTGATAAGGTGTTTGTTAGTTGGTGCTAAGGAGTGTTTGTACCAGTTCAAGGACTTTACAGCTTCCGATACTGCAGCTTCCCAAATTTCCCACTACAAGCAGTGGGGGAGGGGGAAGGGCAACACAGTTCAGACAGCTAACCCTGAAGTTGTATCTCATTCCACAGCACATCATGCTCAGTGTATAAGCTGGGGCTGAGCCAGTGGACCATAGCTTGTTGTTCGGTAGTTAGACAGGGAGTTGGTGGGTCAGTTGGTTCTCAGTTGCTCTCTCACCCATGGGGGCTCGCTCGGACTATGCTGCAATTGCTCTCAGGCTCTCTGACTCTCACTACTCAGGACCTGGCTGTGCATTGGTCAGGGGGTGGTGAGCAATTGTAGCCTATGTTTTATTAATTACATTTGGTTATTAAATTGTTCTCATCTCAATCCACAAGCCTGCTTGTTTTTTCCTCCGATTCTCCTCCTCTGCTGGAGGGAAGGGGGGTGGGAAGTTAGTGAGTGGCTGTGTGGTACTTAATTGCTAGCCAAGGTTACACCCACAACAACAGTCAAAATGAAACGCCATGCAAATAAGTGACCCCATCTCTCTCCCCATCATCACCGCAGCCTTCTTTCCAACTGAAAGACTAGAATGTTGTGGAAGTTGCAGTATGTGAGAACAGAACTGGAACACATGTCCTTCCCTTCCTCATGAGGGCTGCAGCACTCTGCCTTGCCAGGATAGCTTTTCTTTCACAAAACTGTTGCTGCACTACCTCGACACAATGGAAAAATCAGTGTGATCCCCCATAAAGTCTTTCACCCTTGGAGGCTCTGGCCAGACAGACCTGTCCTGTAGAAGGACAGTGTACAGAGGCAGTGCTGCACACCTGCAAGGCACAGACCCATGGCCAGAGGAGAAAGGAGCGGGGGAAGAAGCAAGGCTTTTTTAACAGAACAAAGCATCAACCTCATCACCAGAATATAGCAGTGTTTTCCAAAGCATGGGTGAAGCCACCAGAGAAGCAGGATTGAAGTAGCAAAAGAACTGTGGAAACAACAACCAGGTCGTTTGTCAAGTCCAAACATAAAAGGGAAAAGAAGAAATTCAACAGGAAAGGGCTGGTAGTTTTTATGATCACAGAGAAACCTTTAGAACAGAAGGCAACAAGGTGAAAGCAAGCAAGAAGGCATGCGTGTGTATGCACGCACATGCGTACGTGCTACATGGAGTTTGGTGTCAGCAGTTACTCTTTCAGGCAAAAGAGTAATGAGGAATGCACCCCCTCATTCTTATGGTGTCTGAATTTCAGCATCATTTAAATTGTAATCTGCTAATCAAGCCACGTGAGAGAAGGAGAGAAACTGGCACAGTAAGGAGTTTTAAACCATTTACTACAAGAGACTAGTGAGGTTGGACAGGCTATTTATACTATGCACATGCTCACAGGGGAGTGGGAAGGGGGCAGAACAGTTGGTTTTCTGTTCCCAGCAGAGAAGGGAGAAAGGTGGACTAGTGCTCTCACTGCACAAAACGTGGGAAAACCCCAGAACAACAGTGTGGTCATACCCAGGCTTAAAGAAGTCCACCCAGTGCTTTCTGACTTGCTGGGTGATATCATGGGATCTCACACATGAAAGCAAACTGAAGCAGGGGGGAAACAGGGAGGTCTTTGTGGCCCGCAGAAAAGCTTGAAAGACAAGGAAAAGGGGACTACAGCAAAGGACGTTACCCCGTAAAATCTGAATTCAGTTCAACATGCCAAAGCATGTATCCTAGGGCTCACCTCCATCATTACACGCTCACCTTACACACATATCTGCTTCGTATTTCTTTCCATAAAGAATTCCTAATAAAGACGGATTCTTGTTTCCTCTGAAATTCAGTGTTACATCATACACTGCTGAAACTGTTAGGAAAAAAAGAAAATATGGCTGTTATGTCAACACTTCTAGCAACTGCCTTGCCAGCATCCTTGCATCAGGCAGCACCAGGGCCTTGTGCAAGGCTTGTCAAGTAGCAGAGCTCTTTGCTACTTTGCATTTACACATTGTATTTATCTTTATCAGCCACCCGACATTCCCAACTACGTAGCATGTGTGGTATCAAAACAGAAGGCAACTTGATGAACTAAGCAACAGCGACACACAGGAAAGCTTTATTAGTTTCTCAGACTGGTACCCGAGAGAGTTACGCGGCCCAAATCAATGGGTGACAGGCTGAATGCGTATCACTGCCAACCCACTAATCGTGACGGACATGATGAACACCGCGCTCTGCCACGCAGAGTAAACTAAACGACACGTCACAGTTAACGCAAAGCGCAAGCAGCAGCTTGCCGGTACCTGTTCCCCTGAGACACTGGACAGCAGTGGTGAAACCTTTGGTTCTGGGCAACAGGTGGTATTTCAGTTTGGGCAACCCCTTGGACTCGGCCACCTCCATACTGATACGATGCTTGGTCTCTGTAAAACGGGTTCCTTCACAGTACAGGAGAAACTAGCACAAGACAGAAGGCAAAAATAAGAACATCTTGTGATCACAAGAAACCGCACAGAACACTGAAAACCTGTGTGAGATAAGCATACATCCATGCACGCACACACGCTTCAATTGTCTGATCAAGCCTTAAAAATAAGCACCACCTCTCAACTCATTTACAACAGTTTATATATATAACAACACTGGTACCAAATTTAAGGGTGACAAAAGTCTAAATGGTTATATCTGATATGTTTACTTTAAAAACAAACAAACAAAAACCCTAGAAGCTTTGGCTGGCCGATGATGGACTAATCTGCAAATCAGAAAAAGCAACCCAGATACCAGTATACAACCACTTTAGGAAAAAAACATATTAATCACTAGCCATCTCATTGGAAGTTTGTACTGTACAACCAGAATTACTCATCTGAAGAGACTTGTTTTTCTGAAAGCTTTTCTGATTTTGGGGGTTTTTGGTTGGTTGAGGTTTGGGTTTTGGGTTTTTGTTTTGTTTGGGGTTTTTTGTTTGTTTTGGTTAGTTGTTTTTTTTAAATTTGTATCAGTTGTGTTCATAAAAAGTAGTGCCTTTCCCTAAAACCTCTACCTCGTTCATCTTGTAAGGCACCAATCTGACCATGGCGTCCTGAGTAACTATTAAGGACTTAAATCCTCCCGTACTGACTTCAAGCAGCACAAAACATCGAGCTGTCCTTCTCCAGCTTCTGTATTGCCTCTGCTCTACTCGAGAGAGAGACCAGAAGCAATGCCAAGCCAAGAGCAGGCAAACAAAGCCCTGGTGTGAGCTCCTGTTTATCCCCGGCCTCTTTGAAAAGCGGACATCATTCACCCTGCGCCAGCAGAGGAAACTCTGCTCTGCTGCGTCTGAACGCTCTGCATCCCAGGCATGCAATGGAGGGGGAGAAAGGCTGGTTGCTCCTACTCCCTCACAGCAGAACCCTGCAGTGCTGTAATGGCGCGATCCACAAGACAGGCTTGTCGAACGCATGGCTATACATCTGCTCTGTGCCAGTGCTGCGGTCGCTTGACTTTTCCTCTGTCACATACTGCACACCACAAAGGCAACTTAAACGAATGTTAAAACCACAAAGCCATAGACATGAGAGCTCGACCCGCCAGGGTGCGCTGAGAGAACAGGAACGGGTCCTGCAATCTTCGTTTGGCCCCTGAAGGCCCATTTGTTATGAAAGCCTGACCAACGACCTGGTGAGGAGAGCACAAGGTACAGAGCAGAACTCCGCAATCTCAACCCCGCTCTGCAGCGCAAGCTCCTTCCTCTGCGCCAAGCTCTCACCCTCTCCTACTCGATGGTGCAGCGGTCCGTCTGGACCAAGTAGGCGAGCGAGTTACTGACTGCGCTGCCACGCACGTGTAAGAAAGGCCTCACAAAGGAAGGTTGCACAGACGGCCCTGATCGCGGCGTTTAGAACACACAAAAATTAGGAAATTGATTTCCTCAAGTCAATTTTAATCATGATTTAAATTACCAAGCAGGAAGTCTTGATTTAAATAATCAATGCTAACTACGTTTTGCATTTATATTTTCCAGTTTTCCCTAGAGACTAGTTCTTGGTTCTCAATCGCAGAATCGTTATGATGTACAGATCTGCAACTAAAGTACAGTCTTGAGATTTTTTTAATTGGTAGGGTTTTTTCCTTTTTTCCAACACTAATCAGGAGGATATATCAAGCCTAGTTTGTACCCGTATATTCAAGCAATTAAGTAGTTTAAAATGCATTCTCCAGATTCTTATTTTTTTATATCTTTGTAATGACAGAAAACCACAAATGACGTATTCATGGTGTACTAGTTAAGGCTTACTATTTCAGTCTTCATTTTAACAAGCTGTACTGGATAACACTGAAAATCACTTCAAATGCACAAAAAGCCTGTTAAAATGTTTTATGGGCCAAATAACTGCACATTACGTGTGCTGCTATAAAAGCAAATCAGTAAATTTATCAAAGCGTTCACATTCAAAGCTAAAGAAAGGTTAATAGGTTGATTATACCACTGTGTTACTGCAGGAATATCTAACAACGTTGCACATAATGAAACACAAATCTTTCACGCTTGACTTCAAGTAATGTCAGAATCAAAAGGAAAAGCTAACTGCAAAAGCAGATGTAAAGCTTGCCACGTGTTCGTAGAGACTTCTTGGGAAACCTGTCATTTCACAGATCAATGAACATACTAGCAGGAACTTCCTATCAAAAAACGTGGCCTGTGCATCCCCCCTGCTCCAGAAAGGACTTCTGTTGATGTGTCTTTTTAGCCTACATGGAAGTTAAGGTCATAGAGATTTAGTAGTCAAATGTGGGCTGTTAATTATTATTTTTTAAAAAGGATAAAAATAAGTTCAGAAAAAATTAACAAATATTACACAAGTTTAACTTATAAATTATCTACAACCTTCTAATCATCTATGCAAGCTTCTGAAGTGTTTTCCAAAGTACTTTCCTTATCACCGGGCAAACAGAGCAACACTTTACCAGCATATCCCAGAAGACCTCCTGAAACACAGCACGTGTTTTCCACTTGAACAAGGGTGCGAGCAAACCTTCTCCTGATATGTAAGGCTACAGTGCCACATGAATGCCTCTGTCACCATTTCATTTCTAGCAGTTGATGCCAGGGGAGGAACCCAACACTTACCCACATATATTCCGGATAATCAGCCAAACGTTTTAATCCTTCAATAACCGTGTCTCTGTCCTCTTCCCATTTCCTTTTGCAGAAAACAATCTCAAGGAAGTACCACGTCCAGCCAATTAGGGGCACATATAGTAGCTCTCTCTTAGCAAGAACTTTGGAACTCTTGGAGAAAAACAAAAAGAACCACACAAAAATGTCATTTGCTGATTTGTACAATGAGCTCAAAGACATTAAAATTAAGATGATGAAAAGTTGATGGAATTATATCTGGAATCTCAAATGCAAAAAAACTGTAGGTCCATGGGTTTTAAACAGACCTATAGTCGTCTGAAGGGAAAGCTCACAGTCTCACATACCCCCAGCACTCCGAAACGCTCCGTCATAGTCCAGCCGCACAGGAAGTCGATTTCAAAGTTATGATTCAAGATGATGATGACGTGCTCTTTCCCAAAGGTGTTCACCGTGGCCTCGTCGGAGAACAAGGTGCACTCTGTGCCTGACCACCATTCCAGCAGCATGACCAACTCTGACAAACGTGACGCGGACAGAGAGAGGAGGGGTCAGGGGTGCCAGCTGCAGAAAGCGTTTAGTGTTTCACCTCCAGCCCCATTCAGTGCCTAGGCTAGTCACCGTTTCAATCCAGCTCAGTAGAGATGAAACGAGAGCTTGGACGGGTGTAGACCGAATCACATTGCCACCCTTCACCAGTATTTAGGGCACTAGATATATGCATTCTGGGTAATTTAACAGGTTTTTAACAGCAACAAGTTTAGGCATTATATTATGATTCTATATTCATGATCACTGAAAAAACCCCCAAAACTTTGTGCCTGAAAACAGACACAAGGCACAGAGCCGCTGATTGCTCCACTAAATGAGCACAGTTTCTCCCAGGTGGAATACAAATTATGCATAGATGCAGCCTAATGCTTTTACTCAACACGAAACAACCTTCATGGAGGTAAACAGACCCATAAAGGGCTTTTAAAGGGATACAGTGCCGTAGATCTTCCGCAACGGATGTTAATATTAGAACACAGGACTCCTAGCGTTCTGTATTATGGTCATCAACACAGAGTCAGACGCACTGGAGAATTGAGCTAATTTATCAAAATACCTGGCCAAAGACAGGAATTGTAAATTGTGACTTTCTTTTACTGCAAAACACAGAATGAGCCCTTTGCCTTACGTCTTTTCCAGCTTTTCAATACCTCAGTGTCTCTCTTACTCCACTCCGAACATTTCCTTCGTTACACACTCTTCTTATTTTCCACCTCCACTTTTTTCATCTTTAAAAAAAACCCTTCCACAGAAATTCAGCTGAATGTAGTTGCTGTGGTTGGTCTGTTTCTCTCATTTCAGTACAAGGAGGCAGGTGGAAAGCACTGCTTGTATCTTGGGACAACTATAAAATGTATGAGAATATTTCATTCTCCCAGTAGGAAGATTCGCTTCCATGCAAACTGTAGTTGTTGGTATTGTCTCATTTCAAAGAGTTATGGACGCAATCAAAACCTGGTTGCACAAATATGGCAGGTAAAAAGTCCAACTCTATCCACATCACTATAACATACTTGCAGGGCCAAAATTGGAAGGTGTCCCTTCGGCTCTCTGCATCAGGTTCTGCCATGCAGCATTTCAGCTTTCCATCGAGGCACCCAGGTTTTGCAAAATGGAGCAGTGCCTTCCTGCACAAGGGCTTCTGATCATGGGATCATGACAGGGTAATCTATCCTTACTCTGAAATAAGAATGGGTCCCCTTTTGGAACACATCAGGAACACACTCACAGTATTTGGGTCAATATGAAGAAAACCAATCCTGATCAGCTGAGGACAATAGCTTCACTATCATGTACTGTGTGCTGGCAGCCCAGAAAGCCAACTGTATCCTGGGCTGTATCCAGA